TTTGTATGTATCGTTGCAATACTGATGTGATTCCATTGGTCCATGCATACTACAGTGCAATTCGTCGGATGTTCGACAAAACTTATATATCTAATATATAAAATTTCCATGTCACAATGTTAGTTAGCGTACTCCTCCGAAACGGCTTTACCGATTTTTACCAAATTTTATATGCGTATTCAGTAGGTCTGAGAATCGGCTACTACCTATTTCCCATACCCCTAAGTGATAAGGGTGGCCCACGTTAGGGACGAACCTGAGCGGATCGAGGGTGAGTCGCTAGTATATATATAAAATTGCTTATACTAAGAGATTCATCAATGTCCAACCTTAACGTGACAATAACAGGTAGATCTAAAAATTTTACGTCCCATTCTTATAATGACATAGTTGACTATCACCACAAGGGCTATAATAGAGACGCGAAGGAATATCAAAGTTATTAGATATAGTATAATTTAAAGCAAAACTCTTACAATTTATAACTTTTACAAAATAGCCTATTATTATAATTTTATATTGACTATAGAAAGTAAGAACAGTTGTAACTTATTTAGTACTCAATCGTCTGAAAGAGACGATAAATTTCTGTTACGAATCTAATTCTCCAGCGGTTAAAGACAATTCAAACTTTTGCGAATATTTTATCTGATCGCTTCTTATAAGAAAAGAAAGGAGTCAATTGTTTTTCACTTTTAACTTGAAAGTTTTATTTAATGGTTTTAAGGTATTTATTAGTTATAATATGCTTAACTTAGCTATATTGGGGCTTACATAAGATGTATTTCTACAATCGTTGAAGCAAAAAAAAATTATAATTGTGTTGAAATGTCAAAAATCGTTATATGTCCTTGAATAATATCAATATCGATATATATATATATATATATATATATATATATATATATATATATATATATATATATATATATATATATATATATATCGGTGAAGAATATATATATATATTCTTCACCGATTATAGAAGGACATCATGTCTAAGCCCCACTGAGATACTTTTATAGTACTTTTTAAATAGGTGTTTCTTTTTTATAATTATTGAGGTACAAAGTACAGTGACAATAAAGTACAATTATAATATATAGAAGTAAATATCAAAGACCTTCACATATACATTGTCGTCACGTCTGATCTATCGATCACACGGTAATGTAATCAAATCTTGTTTGTGAAGTAAATATGTAGGTCTGTCGACAATTTCAAATTTACCGAGAATTGGTGTAAGAAATTGTATATCAGAATATACGCACATTTTCTGCATAAAAAGATGAATGTTCATAAAAACTTTCGTCCCTTGTGGAATCTTTTTTGTCACCTATTAAGGGGCAGAATTTTGAAAACCGCATTATTTTTTAATGATTTACACTAGAATTTTATCACGTTTTAGTGATCATTTATAAGCTTATGCACAATGGTACATATGTTTAGATGGATAGCAGACTGGCGTGAATACCCAAAGCAATTTAACACCTCCAGGTAAATTTCTAAGAAATTAATTCTAAGCAATCTATTGTTTACTGTAACGCCGGCGTGTCCGCGGTCTTGGAGAGATTAATTTAAGCGTAAGGATTTTTTCCTTGTAAAGATGCATGTGGTAATTTTTTTCTTATAAGATAATACAAATTCCGAAATGTAATAAAATGTGCCGTGTTTGTTATTCCTGAACATTTTTGTAGAAAACTAAGTAGTAGATTTAAGAAAAATTGAAGCGACTAATAATTTTAACAAATTATATTTAGTATAAATACAGCATATACCTAAAAAATAGACAGAACAAAATAGTTTTTATACAATAATTTTTTTCAGGGTGTTACCGGTATCAAAATATACCTATCGATTTTTGCCTTGCTAATTTGAAGTTACTACTTTTCACTTAACACTTTTCTGTAACAATAAATTAGCTTAGCAAGCTTACTATAATTATAATTAATTATTAAAAGAATATTGATTTTCTATACGTACACATTTTTTATATAGATAATAGTTTGGATCTAAACAAAAAAAGTATTTAGTTTTAACATTATAAAATAAGTAAATATCAAACTCAATGTAGGCAGTTTGCTTAAACTTGCCCAATTTCTGTCATAAGTGACAAAATCCAGTCGAGCTATACAGTTTAGATTTGCATAAAGCTATCTGAACATCGTTTTGGCGTCAGTTTATCCGGTTTCTCATATTGGTTAACTTAACTACTCGATTTGCCTTCTCCTGTCAGTCTAAAATCTGAAGGAAAGTGGCCTTTACCCATCGGCTTATTGTGTAGGAAATAAAATTTATATCTTAGCTTAACATGATGTATAAATAAATCTATAGTAACCTTTCTTCTATGCATTCCACACACATAAATATTATACTAAATTTAAATGATAAGCAAGTAAAATACTTTTTTTTAACTAAAGGAAGCCTTGAACATATTTCATTAGATAAACTGTTTGTATCATTATATTTTTTAAAGAATTATTATGTTTAATGACAATAATCGTACTGAGTCAATATATACGTAAGTCATGACAGGAGATATTTCTCCCCAGTTTTAAAGAGGTGTCGCAGGATAGCATTGCGTACTCAATCATGACATCTCGATATCTGGCCTGCCCAGGCAAACCACAATAACCGTAGGTTGCTTCCACGGTCCACAATACTATCAGAGAAGTAACAGGAGCAACCCGCATGGTACACCGCCTACTAAAATGGACCAACTCCCCGTGTATCTCTTAGCTTCAGGTCCAGCTGGATTGCCAGATTTACTAGAAGATGAACACACATCGGGAGGGTAATAAAGTATACCTATATCAAGGGTATTGTTTCGGAAAATCATTTTCGGAAAATTTGAAGATAAAAATTTTAAAGGGTTTTTATTGATAAACTAGGTAGGTATATCCTTTATATTTACATTATTTAAAATTTAGATACACCACATTTTAGTATAGAATATAGTGAGGTTAGTTATATCCCGATGTATCTGACAATATTGCTCGTAAAAAGAGCATCAAATTGAATTCCGTTCTTTATTAATTTTAAAACTGCCACTTTAAAAAAGCAAGCTCCGCCTGTGCAGTGTGCATTACCTACGAGTAAACATAATCAAGAAACTAATTAAAAAAGACAATTATAATAATTGATATTCCATCACTGACATTTAATATCATTTAAAAACGTTTAGTAATATGTACCTTATTATTTTTAAATTGAATAAGTATCACATTGGAAGTGTAACAACCTACGAAACAAGCGGGATTTAGGAAGAGTTTCTCGACTATAGACTATATCCACACTCTAGAACTACTGATTGAAAAATATCAAGAAAAACAGAGAGCTCTATATGTCGCCTACATTCAAGTATCTGGAAAGCGCTAATAGAATAAGGGGTAGAGAAGGAGTATATACAGGTAATAAAAAGTATCTATAATAATAACAAGGGCAGAATTAAATTGGAAAGAGTCGGCCAAAGCTTTTCCATTGAAAGAGGAGTGAGACAAGGTGACCCGACCTTCCCAAAGTTGTTCATTGCCATCCTAGAGTCTATAATAAGAAAGCTGGATTGGAAAAATAGCGGCCTAAACATAGACGGAAAATACTTGAGCCACCTCCGATTTGCTGACGACTTGGTGCTTTTATCGGAATCAAGCTCACAATTACAAGACATAATCCAATCACTAAATGTGGCTAGTAAAGATGTAGGGCTAGAGATGAACCTTACAAAAACAATGGTAATGACAAACAGCACGGAAAACACAATATCTGTCGACAAAGAAATACTGAGATTTACGAACAAATATATATACTTAGGCAAACAAATCGGCTTCGACAAGGAGAGCAACTATGCAGAAATTGAGAGGCGTATTCAACTTACTTGGAACAAGTACTGGAGCCTAAAGGAAATTTTTAAAAGCAATATGCCAGTAAAAATAAAAAGTAAAGCCATGTCGACCTGCCTTTTACCGTGGCTAACTTATGCTTGTCAGACCTGGAAATACACAGATAAAATAAAAAGAAAAATTACCACATGTCAACGCAGCCTAGAACGTAGCATGCTAAGAATTAGAAAAATTCAAAAAATAAGACACACAGAAATAAGAAGCATATCTAAAGCTACCGATGCTCTAAACTATGCCCAAAAACTAAAATGTAAGTGGGCGGGGCATGTGGCGAGACTGTCACACGAGCGGTGGACCATACGGATGACACGGTGGAGAGGCCCAAGTGGAAAACGCTACAAGGGAAGACCGCTTACGAGATGGGCGGACGATGTTATCAAAGTAGCTGGCCCAAGCTGGATGAAAATGGCCCAAGATAGAGAAAACTGGTACTCTTTGGAGGAGACCTTCACCTGCGGAAGGGTTCTTGCAGGTAATAATCAAACATAACATTAAGATCAAGCATTATTTACTTTTTTATGCTGATTAAAGAAAAATATAACATAACTTAAATAAAAAAAAAAAAAACAATTTTTTTTACAAAAAACAATATATACAGTTATTTATTTTTATATTATATTATTTCTGTACTATCTTCTTTTTTTCAACTAATTGTTTGTTTACTTTTGTTACTCTTGCAAGAAATAAAAAGGCTTTTTTATTTTTATTTATTTATTATAGTACAAATAACAATTTATTATAAGCTTAATATATAGTAGGATACGCTGTAGTGGTTAAATACAATATACCATAACCAAGGATGCTCGCTCATTCATTTTTCTAGTGCTCCTTAGTAAAAATACGGAATGCGTTCTTTACGTATATTATTTACATACAAATAATACATTATATATAATAATATACAGCATAAAGAAAGGCATGATATAAATCTAAGGATTCCAGAATTTTACTACGGAACCAAGAATGAACATTTTAAATAATATAATATACAGATAAGGATGATAAAGTAACAAATTATCTTTATAAATAAAGAAATCAAATTAATATAAATAAATGATATTAATGCATTTGATTTAGAGAGACCTCAGCAAATAAGAAGATATGAAGTCGCTTTTCTGCCTTTTTGTGTTAGGTAAGCATTTTGATTAGCTAAAAAAAATTACAAAAGTACATTAAATTTAAAAGTGATTTTTGTACAATTTTAAATTAAAGTTTTTGACATGTTTTTTTTAATATTTAAACTAAATTATTTCTCATCTCGTAACATTTTTAGTGTGTGCCGCTACAGCGGTGTCCTTGGAAAACGAGGAGCAGAAATATTCACGTTTCATTGAGATTCCTACTGATGATGGCGTAATGCATCAAGTTGATTTAGAGGAGCAGCCAGACTTCCACTTATTGGAAGAAATCCAGAGGAACCCAGCAGACAACGTATATCTACTGTTCACTAGGTATGCTTTTGGATATTTCTACTTGCGTTCAGCTAAACTAATTATCAAATGTTGTAAGCGTATAAATTTGGTGATCATTAAATATATTTTTTGAGTTTGAATCTCCGTTGAGCTTTTTTATTAAGAACTTCTGAGTAAAATTTGGTCTTTTTACATCCCTGAACCTTGGAGGGCGCGTAAATTCATTTATCGTACGCCCAAAAATATATATCATAAAAATACATCTTCCACACAGATAGCTAGACTCAAGGAGATTAAACGCCATGGTTAAAGTTGATTATGTTCGACATTATTATTATTATTATATTTTTTAGGCGGAATCCACTTATAGCTCAGACTCTCACAATAAACAATGCAAATAGCGTTACCTCATCCAATTTCAATCCGAGAGTTCCAACTATTGTCATTGTTCACGGATGGCTCAGCAACCGGTACACTAACCCAAATCCAACTGTCAGACGTGGTAAGCATATTTGGATTTTTGACATAATAAATACCAAAAAGATCTTTTTTACCTTCGATCAACAATACTACTAGATAACGTGTCGCATACAAAATCAAAGCTAAATTCTGTCCGCGCGAATATGTACTTATACAGCTTCATTGGCATACTAACGAACCAAGACAAAGTCTTAAAATAGTTTTATTTTCAAGCTAATCAACACCATAGCACCTTGTAATAAAGTCACAAATCTTCCAATTGTCATCATACACTTATGATCATTTCGTAAGATTTATAATCTTTATTGTAAAATCAACCTTATATCAAAAACTATAAAGCTTTTTCCCGTTGTTGCTTTGTGAGCAAAATCGTTGTTTTGTTTCTGTTTGCTTCTTTGAATTGGCACGTATATTGGCTGACCTGGGCCAACGTTCTTAGTGGATTTAAAATTGTTCAAAATTTCATTTTTATATTATTTCGTAGGTTAAATCTTAAAATATTGACTTAATCTACATGTATTTACCGAAAATAAGATACTCTGTCTGATATATTCCTTCTTTGCGCATTATTTTAGTAACTTTTAAATACATATTGCAGCATTGTAAACGTGTTTACGTTGGCTGTGTTTCAATAGAACTAATCGAAATATACGCTCACTCTTCAAATGAGCTGATATTTACCGAGACAGATTTCTAACGCCGACCCGATATCTAGTAGTATTTTTAATCGAAGTTTTTTACATATTACTATATAATTTTTTAATTTAACTTTGTTTATTAGTTGTAAAACACTACTTATATACATATATATTTAAGTTTTTTTTTTAATATTTCCGGTTATGTATAATTTCCATGATTTACAGCTTATCTGGACAAAAGTGACGTAAATGTCATTGTTATGGAATGGAGAAGGCTAGCTGCGTCTACATATCCTACTGCTGTCGCCGGAGTTCCGGCGGTGGGACGAGGCCTGGGTCAATTTCTTACATTCCTCAACAGTACTACAGGAGCTCCTTTTAATACAATGCATCTGATCGGATTTAGTTTAGGTGCCCACGTAGTTGGAAATGCTGGCAGAGAACTTGGTGGCAGAGCTGCGCGTGTTACAGGTAAGATTTATTATGATATAGTTCAATAGGTTTAAGAATAAAAGTACTTTCTAAACTAGGAAATATTTTTCCTATGACTTACTACTTTACTAGCGACTTTTTGTTACTAGCGACTCACCGTCACTCCACTCGGGTTCGTCCCTATTTACTTTTTAATGTTTAGTATAGATTTCTCAGAGATGATATATTTTCCCTCAGTAAAAAGTATCCCATATGTTGACCCGGATGATATCATCATACTAAAATTCATCAAAATCCCTCCAGTGGTTTTTCCGTGATGCGATAATAGACAGACAGAAAGACAGACGGACAGACAAAAATTCTCAGAACTATAGATTTGGCATCTGTATCAATAAATGTCTATTTCAATAAGATTTTTCAAAAAATATTCAATGTACAGATTCGGCTTAGTTGCAATTTTATTATTCGTATAGATAATAGATCATATAAAAACTTCAAATTAATCTTCTTTGAATATTATTCATTTGTATAGGTTTGGATCCCGCTGGTCCTCTATGGGTGACCAATTCAAATCGTCTACGACCTGCTGATGGTGTATATGTAGAGGCTATTCACACCGATGGTGGTATTGGGGGACTTGGTATTGGACGTGCGGTGGCTGATGCCGACTTCTTCCCTAACGGTGGAGAGAGTCAGCCTGGTTGTTATACCAGTTTGTGCAATCACAATCGCGCTTGGGAACTTGGGCTTCCAAGTGGTAATACATCACCTTGTAGGCAGGCAGTGTAATAATATGCTTCAAGTTTCCTTAAACACTTGTAGCGGATCTGCTCTTAACTTGGGCAATGACGATTTAAATAAGAGAGGGTAAGTTTCATTGGCATTAATTTTTTCCCGACTTTTTTTTCCTCTACCCATAACCATAAGTAATATAACATTAAGTAGTTTTCTACGCTAAGAATTTAGAATCGTAAACTTTTATAGACCACACGATGGGATTTGTCTTATTTTTCGTCATAAAAATAATCATACCAGATGTTCTAAAATTATCCTCTTTATGATTATTATTTCTCAAGAATGTGGACTCAAACTGAAACGAATGTGCTATTCGTTTTCACACTCAGAGCCATCCAGTATCCAGGTTAAATGGTAGTAAATATGCGGCTAAATCTGCTAGCGAGATACTCGTATCTCATTACTATCTTTCTAAATGAGAATACTCCTTTTGATGCTACTTACCACATGGAGTCCCTCTATTTAACAACTCTTTTGGTTTGACTATTTCTTAGTTATATGAGTATATTATGTGTCCTTAAAAATGTTATAAATATAAATGTAAAATGTATTTTCTTTTCGACTGCCATAAATAGCTGACTATTTTATCTAGAAAAAGAAAAGAGTTACGCAAGGAAAGGGCACGACATTTTTGTCAATACATAGAACATTGTACTCAAAAAAAAACTTTTGCCTGAAAATGGATGGAGGCAATGTGTTTGACACGTCTTGACGTCATTTTTTCTTTTATAAATGTCATACAAATTCATTCTCAAATATTTCTAGTGCCACAAGAAGTTTTGCATATTTTAAAATATTATACTGATTTATATTATTTTTTCAGCAACGGCCTGTTCCGAGTGAATACCCAACGAAGATATCCTTACTAATCACCAACAACTAATTTACAAATAAAACTATTTATTTTTAAAGAGAGAACGTTATTTTATTCAATGTCTAAACAAGAACATTACTTTTAAACCGAAAAAGGAAACAAATCTATACTAATATTATAAAGACGTAAACTTTGTGAGTTTGTGAGGTTGTAGGAGGTAATATACACGTGATTGCACATACTCGCCTCAGGATGATTTGCAAAGATATTGAAATTAAAAAAGATTCAAACTTCAATAGGGAAGATGGCTGGGTACTACCATCGTCTTGGGATCCTGAAATAAACATAACAAAATCTAACAACAAAAACAAATATAACAGACCAGTAGATGTAGTTTGTTCATACTGTGTGAATTGCAATAATAACAGTAATTCTGATTAATATTTTTTGTCTATAAAGGTAACAATAGTGTTGCTTAATATTTTAACTTTAAATAAAAGCAATCTAAATTAATATTTTAACTTCTTTAAAATTACATATAAAACAATAATATTGCTTAGATAAATAATTAATATTTTTTAATTTTCTTATATTCTTTATGGTTATACATAATATAATAATAGCAACACTAAATAATATTAGTAATTAATAAAGTTTTAGAAAAATTTGTAATATTTATAATAATAACAACTAAAGTTAAATGAATAATATTCCTATATTTTTATTATAATACTTAATTATTATATATTTTTTTAAATGTTTAGAAATAAAAATCAACCAATATTGTAAGGTACTTTAGTGCCATTTTTGAATTTTTGAAACCATTTTTGTAAAATAGTGGGTAAGCACTGTCTGTAACAAGTATATGTGTTTGAGACGTCTATATTTATAACCTTAGTCTCTCCCGTGACCATGATTGCTGTAAAGCATTCGAAACGTCGGGAACCAAAAATCAAAATAAATCCGCGAAATAATCCGAAAAGACAGTTTTAGTAAAAAAAAGGCAAATATTTGCGTAAATCTAAGAAAGTATTAAATAATATTTATCTTAAACTTATCGCTTTCATTTATCATTATTAAGATACAAATGACATTATCAGGGTTAGGTTTTGGTCAGATTACGATTCCGATGAATTTACGGTAGAACCATAGGTGATGTGCGCAAATATATATTAAGCATTAAAAAGGAGGATTACTTTCTTTTTAGCCGATGCGGCGATAAACAGAATCAAATAGATTAATAGACAAAAAATAACGGTATTTAACATTTAACACCTCCAGGTAAATTTCTAAGAAATCTATTGTTAACAGTAACGCCGGCGTGACCGCGGTCGTGGAGGGACTAATACAGTGCAAATAACAGTTTTTTATAAGGCTAATATTGAGTAGGAATAGGATATGCTGTACTGGTTAGATACAATTTACCATAACCAAAGATGCTCGCTCATACATTTTTCTAATGCTCCTTAGTAAAAATACGGAATGCTATCCTTATTCTTTACGTATATTATATTATTAATGTATAAAGAATATTCATATATGTATATATATATATCATACAGCATAAGAAAGATATATAAATCTAAGAATTCCAGAATTTTACTACGGAACCAAAAATGGACATTTTAAATAATACAGATAAGGGTGATAAACTAACAAATTATCTTTATAAATAAAGAAATCAAATTAATATAAATAAATGATATTAATTCATTTCATTTAGAGAGACCTCAGCAAATACCAAGATATGAAGTCGTTTTTCTGCCTTTTTGTGTTAGGTAAGCATTTTGATTACCTAAAAAATTTTACAAAAAGTACTTTAAATTACTGTTTGTATAATTTTAAATCCAAGTTTTGACATATCTTTTTTTAATATTTAAGCCAAATTATTTCTCATCTCGTAACATTTTTAGTGTGTGCCGCTACAGCGGTGCCCTTGGAAAACGAGGAGCAGAAATATTCACGTTTCATTGAGATTCCTACTGATGATGGCGTAATGCATCAAGTTGATTTAGAGGAGCAGCCAGACTTCCATTTATTGGAAGAAATCCAGAGGAACCCAGCAGACAACGTATACCTACTATTCACTAGGTATGCTTTTGGATATGTCTACTTGCGTTCAGCGAAAATTACTTATCAAATGTTGTAAACGTATAAAGGTGATAATTAAATATATTTTTTGAGTTCGAATTTCCGTTGGGTCTTTTTTATTAAGAAATTCTGAGTAAAAGTTGGACTTTTTACATCCCTGAACCTTGGAGGGCACGTAAATTCATTTGTCCTGCTTTCAATAACATCTTCCATACAGTTAGACTGCTAGACTCAAGGAGATTTGACGGCGTGGTTAAAATTGATTACTTTCGAAATTATTATTATTATTATATTTTTTAGGCGGAATCCACTTATAGCTCAGACTCTTACAATAAACAATGCAAATAGCGTTACCTCATCCAATTTCAATCCGAGAGTTCCAACTATTGTCATTGTTCACGGATGGCTCAGCAACCGGTACACAAACCCAAACCCAACTGTCAGACGTGGTAAGCATGATAGGATTTTTGGCGATTGATATAACAAATAACAAAAAAATCGTTTTTACATAGGTATTACTATAAAAAAAAATTTACTGTTTTCCTAAGTTTGTAAGTTGTAAAACACTACTTTTGTACATATATATTTAAGTTTTTTTTTATATTCCCGGCTATGTATAATTTCCTTGATTTTACAGCTTATCTGGACAAAAGTGACGTAAATGTCATTGTTATGGAATGGAGAAGGCTAGCTGCGTCTACATATCCTACTGCTGTCGCTGGAGTTCCGGCGGTGGGACGAGGCCTGGGTCAATTTCTTACATTCCTCAACAGTGCTACAGGAGCTCCTTTTAATACAATGCATCTGATTGGATTTAGTTTAGGTGCCCACGTAGTTGGAAATGCCGGCAGAGAACTTGGTGGCAGAGCTGCACGTGTTACAGGTAAGCTTTATTATGATATAGTTCAATAGGGATAAGAATAAAAGTACTTTCTAAACTAGGAAATGTTTTTCCTATGACTTAATAACAAAGAAATTTTTAAAAGTCTTTAGTGAGTGTAATCTTTTATTACGCTTTTATTAGTTTCACTTGCAACTGATCACAATATAATAGTTTGATACCATCGAAATAATATGATGATGAAATCAGGAGACAGAAGAGCTCTTTAATGGCTACATTTCTTTTATTTTGATGAATCCCATTCATCTTTACATGTAAAAAAGTGTTTTAGTATTATTAAAATTATATTAGACGTTAAACTGAACTTAAGATCATGTGTACATACATATATCATAATATACACACATATATTATAATATATATATATATAATATTAAAGGTTTATTTTACCAATAAATGATTATATAAGTTACTAGCGACTCACCCTCGCTCCGCTCGGGTTCATCCCTACTTACTTTAGCGTTTAGTATAGATATCTCAGAGGTGAGATATTTTCCCTCAGTAAAAAGTATCCTTTATGTTGACCCGGATGCTATCATCATACCAAAATTCATCAAAATCCCTCCAGTGGTTTTCCGTGATGCGGTAACAGACAGATAGAAAGACAAACAGACAGACAAAAATTCTCAAAACTATAGATTTGGCATATGTATCGATAAATGTATATTTCAATAAGATTTTTCAAAAAATATTTTATGTAAAGATTGGCCTTATTTGCAATCTTATTATATGTATATATAATAGAACATATAGAAACTTTAAATTAATCTTCTGTGAATATTATTCATTTGTATAGGTTTGGATCCCGCTGGTCCTCTATGGGTGGCTAATTCGAATCGTCTACGACCTGCTGATGGTGTATATGTAGAGGCAATTCACACCGACGGTGGTGTTACGGGACTTGGTATTGGACGTGCGGTGGCTGATGCCGACTTCTTCCCTAACGGTGGCGTGAGTCAGCCTGGTTGTTATACCAGTTTGTGCAATCACAATCGCGCTTGGGAACTCTACGCTTCAAGTGTGACCAACAACCACCTTGTAGGCAGGCAGTGTAATACTATGCTTCAAGTTTCCTTAAACACTTGTACCGGATCTGCTCTTAACTTGGGCAATGACGATTTAAATAAGAGAGGGTAAGTTTCATTGGCCTTAATTTTTTCCCGACTTTTTTTTACTAATTTTTATTACACTCAACTTACCGTGGAAAAACAAGACGATATTCTCATTGTTACGTGTAGTTTGGGTATATTTTAGTTAAGGGGTAAATCATTTATTTTATTTTTTATTTTTAACAAGCCTCTACCCGTAACCAGGAGTAATATAACATTAAGTAGTTTTCTACGCTAAGAATTTAGAATCGTAAACTTTTATAAACCACACGAGGGGATTTGTTTTATTTTTTGGCATAAAAATAATTATACCAGATATTCTAAAATTATCTTCGTTATGATTATTAGTCGACAAGAATGTGGACTCAAACTGGAACGAATAGCACTCAGAGCCATCCAATACCCAGGTTAAATGGTAGGAAACATGCGGCCAAATCTGCCAGCGAGACATCTCATTGTTATCTTTCTAAACGAGAATACTCCTTGTGATGCTACTTACCAAAATAGACGCCCTCTATTTAAGAACTCTGTTGGTGTGCCTTTTTCGTAGTTATATGAGTATATGTGTCCATATACATTTTATAAATATAAATATGAAATGTATTTTCTTTTCGAGTGCTATAAAAAGATATTTTTATCTAGAAAAAGAAAAGAGCTACCAAAGGAGAGGGCACGAAACTTTGAATATAAAAATGTGTAATAAATAAACCCTATTTAATGAATTTTGATTGAAGACGTGATTATTAGATATTCCTTAGTATTTTTGTCAATACATAGAACATTGTACTCCAAAAAAAACTTTTGTCTGAAAATGGATGGAGGCAATGTGTTTTACACGTCTTGACGTCATTTTTTCTTTTATAAATGTCATGCAAATTCATTCTCAAGTATTTCTAGTGCCACAATAAGTTTTGCATATTTTTAAATATTATACTGATTAATATTATTTTTTCAGTAACGGCCTGTTCCGAGTGAATACCCAACGAAGATATCCTTACTAATCACCAACAACTAATTTACAAATAAAACTATTTATTTTTAAAGAGAGAACGTTATTTTATTCAATGTCTAAACAAGAACATTACTTTTAACCCGTAAAAGGAAACAAATCTATACTAATCTAATATATTTAAACGAGCGATTCTTGTATATATATAATCTGAATCTCGGAAGCGGCTCCAACGATTTTTATGAAATTTAGTACACAGGGGGTTTCCGGGGCGATAAATCGATCTAGATTAGTTTTATGTCCGGGAAAACGCGTGTTTTCCAGTTTTCATGCGGTTTTCTTTCGCATTATTCCACGCAAAATATGGTCACTAATTCGCACAGTTGGACAACCACAGGTGTCTGGGTTCGTATCCTGGTCGGATAGAAAGTTTTTACTTTTGTTTTTTTTTGTATTTATTCAAATTTTTTGTTTTTTTTTTCTTTAAATGTTTAGTAAAAAAATTTAATGTAATGTTTAATAAAAAGTTAAAATAGTTTTAAATATTGGCCAAAAACTCCGAGCGAAGCTCGGTCGCCCAGGTACTATAATATAAAGAGGTAAAGTTTGTGAGGTTATAGGGGGTAATCTCTGGATCTACTAAACCGATTTAAATAAAATTTGATAAGAAGATAGTTTGAGACCCTGGAAAGGACATAGAATACTTTTATCCCGAAAATCATCCCTTAAGGGGTTTAAAATGCGGATGAAATTTTGTATTGGGAAACAACCTAGGGACGAACCCAACCGAAGCGAGGGTGAGCTGCTAGTTATATACAGCTATTTTATATACAGGGATCCTATATAATTACATTATTGCCTGATTATTTTAATTAAAGAACTGCTTTTGCTCACTTCCATTTTGCTTTTAGCTAATAAAACCTCTATAGGACTAAAACATCCGGTACGTTGACGGTATATTTTTAAGTTCTAATATCCCAAAGTGTTTTATATAGATTACTTTAATTTTTAAAAGATTTTAAAATAACTATCATAGGGTATCATTAAGTTGTTTGCGTACATTTTAAGTTACTCGTTAAACAATTCGGTAATATGTCATCTTATATAATACCTCTTAATTACGAATTTCTTTCTAACGATTTCGGCTTAGGCGCCAACATCGTTAAGACTATCCAACTGCATGGGACATATTAGAATAGTGCAGTACATGTGTGCACGAGAGCACTCTTCATTTATTTTAAGGACAGGACCGACTGCTTAACTCTTCAGCTAACACCAAAATTTTACCTCCGGGTTGTTACTATGTGTTTTGTATTAGAAAATTCCTATATCTTGTTCGACACGGAACTCCAACCCAGGAGACAGAACCCACAAAACTTTAATTCAACCAATTCGCACGAAACGCTTTATTGCTACATTTCTGAAACGAACTGCTAAGGTGTGGAACACCCTTCCAGCATCCGTGTTTCCTGCCACATATAATTTAAGTACCTTCAAGGCAAGAGTGAATAGGCATTTTCTAGGCAAGCGCGCTCCAACTTAGACCTCATCCGTGCTTCCCATCGGTGATTGTAGTCAAGCGCAAGCCTATCGCACAATAATAAAAAAAAAACTACAGTCATATAAGCTATTACTAGTTTATTACAGTCAGACAGAAAATCAAAAAAAAAATTACAAAAAAATATTATTTACCTTCTTGAAATTGTATAAATAGTACATATCTGTTTATCTAAAACAATATAACAACTATTCACATCAGACCGACATGAAAACTTGATATGAATATTAATTTCTGAATTATCAGACGCGTGCCCCAGATGTGAGTGATGTGAGGACATGATGAATCGTTATAATTTGCACGTCCCACGTCCGTTATCCGTCACTAAGTTCAAGAACTTGACGTGTTGTATCAAACAAAGTAAATTGTACAATGAAGGAATAGATAAAGGTTTAAAACATTATCTATCGTTTAAGCATACTCAAATGTTATGCATACTACAACTACTACAATTGCCGTATTAACTGTAAATAGTAGACATTATGTAAATATTATGACGTTACACCACAACTTTTGGTCGATGTCGTGACATTTCTGCCGTTCTTATAATAAACATTAGTCCCTGGTCGACCGAGCTTCGCTCGGAGTTTTTGGCCGAGTGTACAATTTTCTTTTTAATTTGGCTTAAAAACAAAAAAAAAACAAAAACTTGAATAAATACAAAAAAACAAAAGAAAAAACTTTGTATCTGAGCGGGATTCGAACCCGGACACAACCTGTGATTACAATCTTGCGTCTTGGCCGCTTGACCACGATGCTTATGCTCCAGCCTTGTGAAATTAGCGATCATATTTTACGTGGAATAATGTAAAAGAAAACCGCATACTCGAAAACACGCGTTTTCCCAGACATAAGACTAATCTAGATTGATTTTTCGCCCCCGAAAATCTCCACATACCAAATTTCAGAGAAATCGTTAGAGCCGTTTCCAAGATCGCTAGTATATATAAATAAATAAATATACAAGAATTGCTTGTTTAAGGGTATTAGATATCGTGGCAGTTACACTATCGAAATCACGCCGTAACTATTTTTGGTGTCCACAAAAGAAATGTTCCTAACATTCTAAGCATTTTTCTTGTGTTTAATAGAGTTGAACTATGCGCGTGCGACACTAAATTTATTTTAGCTAATTAATTTAAACATTTCATAATCCTATATTATGGTAAATACTAAAAAACGTGTCTTGCAATAGGATTAAACTACGATATATAAACAACGCATATGATGTAGCAATAACATAGCTTATACATATGTATCTAGGAAATTTATAATATTAATAATTACACGTATTATGTATCTAGGAATATTATATAATTTATAAAATTCGTAAATAAATATTAATGCTAGCACAGAGGCGTATCCTGAAAGGCGTGTTGTAAAAAAAGCTTAGTTAGTAATTCGTTATCAATGTCCACGTTTCTAAGAAAATAACATCTTTAGGGAATTTTAAAAAATCGTTCTGTAATGCTTCTACTTATTACTGGCTCTACGTTGTCTCGTAGTAAGTTAGTGTATGAATTTAAGATTTTTATGAGTTAGATGACAAGGTCAAAAGCGTACTTTTGGACATTATCCGAAACAAACTGACAGACAGGCAGACAAAAAAATATAATTGTATTTTTTATTATAAGTACCTACCGTATATATGTATATCATATGTATTTATTAAAAAGCTGTTATTCTATCATACCAAGCAGACACTTCAATTTTATTTATCTGTAGAGATAAAAAATCGTATTATCAGGAATTTTAAAACTAACAATAAATTAATTTATGTATAGTCTATTTTTACCTAAGAAGAGTTGCGAATAAAACTTTTAATATAGCTTAAGACAAATAATGATATCATAGTAAAAGGCAATCAAAATAAAATTTTCCATTAAATTGTGGATAAATCAAAATTAATGCACAATATTGGCTTCCTAGCGAATGAGTTTTAATTTCATAAAGCGATGAGTGCGGTTCACTCGATTGAAAAATTATTTATTGTTTATGTTTGACGTATATATTTTCAGGAGAAGTTTAATACTACCTTATGCTACTTATTTTAATAAGTATTAGCATTCAGCGGGGGAATACGGCTATCATTCTTACCACAATTCCACGCGGACATGACTTGTACAGTAATAATTAAATGCCAATTTATTTTGTGTATAAAATGAATGAAATGATTTTTCAACCGACTTCGAAAAGGAGGAGGTTCTCAATTCGACTGTATGTTTTTTTTTTTATGTTTGTTACCTCAGAACTCCGTCATTTATTAACCGATTTGGACAATTTTTGTTTTGTTTGAAAGGGTATACTTCCAGATTGGTCCCATTTAAATTTCAAAAAAAAATACCACCCCTAAGGGTGGAAAAACAACTAATGATGAATTTAACCTACTTCTAATATCATATTGACTTGAAACTTTGCAAGTATTTCTATTTCCGTTGATAGTACAGTGGTTCGGTGTTGTTGACCTGATCTGATGGCAAGGCCAGAAGGTGGATAGGTGGAACTCTTCAACGGCTAATAGTAGATACTTTGAGTTTGGGCTTATTTTGTTTGATTTGACAAGCCTAACATGTTAGAATCCTTACATTGCTACTACTGTCTACACTAAAAAGGGAAAAATAAAAACTTTTTAACAAAAAAATAAAAACCGACTTCAAACAAAAGCACTAAAAAGTAAAAAATAACTGATTGGTAGTTTTCATTTACTATACATACCTTATCAAATATTTTCGAAGTCGGTGTGCTTTGGCTAAGTAATTAAAGCCTACCTATTAAATACATACCTAATCAAATATTTTCGAAATCGGTGCCAGCCCATACAAAGCAAAGCACACCGACTTCGAAAATATTTGATTAAGTATGTATAGTAAATGAAAACTACCAATCAGTTATTTTTTACTTTTTAGTGCTTTTGTTTGAAGTCGGTTTTTATTTTTTTGTTATTAAACTGAATTACATTTGTAGTACAAGATTGAGAGCCATCTAGTAAGTTAAAAATAACTTGTGACAGGAGGTCTCGCTCTTCCACAACAAATATTAATGTACAATATTATGATCTAAGGTATATTAGTAAATTAAAACAAAAAAAACTTAATACTAAATCTGTTCATGTGTGCATGTGTGAGTTCGTTTACGTTTGTGCGTGTGCGTGTGCAGTGAAACGAAAAAAGAATTTGGACATGTTAGACCAACAGATCCAGAAACTAGTGCATTCAAATTAATCAAAATTATATTTCAGCTTTATTAAAAAAAATAGTATAAATTGTATATTCTGTAAAGAACAGGAAAGTAAATATAGTAAAAATAAGCCGACATTCAAACTGTAACCAGCTTTTGGATTAAGGTTAAAGTTGTATGTGAAAAAATTTATTCTAGGTGTATATAGTAGTAAGTATTAAAGATCTATTGAGTGCAAAATAATAAAATATCTTTTTTGTTCTCAAGATTAAATAAAACAACCACTAAGCGTAATTTTAAATAAAACATAACGT